GCTGTTTGGAATGAAGATTTACAAGAAGAAGTAATTCCATCTGATTGGATTAGTGATAAAACTGTTTGTCGGCTTCCAGGTACCAAAGCATTGACTGCACTAAAATGCAGAGAAGAATTGGCTTAAGTTTATACAAATAAAAACTAAGTTCTCTTCAGGTATTACATCTATATATTACAATTATTATTTTTTAAATAATGTGGTCAGAAGAGTTATTTTGTTGATGCAAAATATATAACTATTTGTATAACTATTTCAATTCTAAAAGGAAGCAAACAGTATTGTGAAAATTTTAAATTCACAACTACAAAAGAAAAATGTGATAATGAGAATGTTGACAAGTGGGTGCAAGATTTGCACACAAGTGGAAACTTGGATGCAAATTTTCCACTTGTGTGGTTTGGATGGTTCTCCACAATATAATATGTCTCCACAAGCATAATATTAGATTTACTTCATGTTTTTTTACAGATAAATCAATTACAGTTAATTGGTGGAGTTACCTCATTTATAATCAGGGTGTCTGCAGCTCCTCTAAAGTCCTCTTTTTTTAAAACCACTTCTAAAATCCTCTATTATCCTCTAAAGAGGTAAAAAATTGATCAAAGCTCCTCATTAATTCTTTTTTAATTTTTGATGGATGTATAATGTTCAAAATACCCATTCTCGGTCTGCAAAACTGGTTAACGCCTTAAAGTGCATGGAATTGTAAAAAATTGCTTTAGAAAATGCATGCTATTTAACATAAAAAATTACATTATTTGATCCCTTGCCAAGCCCCATAAGTGTATAAACATGGACGTTAAACCATTAATAAATGGCCACATAAAATTTCTTATAAAACTTTTATTTTTTTTTAAATTTTGATTATTAATTTATTTTTAATATATTAAAAAGGTTTTTTTATTTAAATTAAATATTTGAAAAAGTTATTAATAACCAACTAACAGTTATATTATTTTTTAAAAATTCAGAGTATTTTCGAAAAGTTATATGGCCTCAATGGATATGAAGGCAAAGGTGGAAAAGTATGTTTTAAGAACACTAATCTATATGGCGTTGAAAAAGATATACCTTTATAAGTTGTAAAACTTTTCCATTGATTATTTATTTTTTAAATCTTCCCTTTTTGTTTTTTTTTAATATATTTTTTTATTTACAGCTTCTTATATTGTATTCAATGGACCAAAAGACCCTCGGTAAATGGAATATTGTTTGACTTTCTAAATTACGCTTTATTTCAAAAATGTGGTGGAAAAGAAAAGAAATTAGTGTAGATTTTATTCAATTACATGTAAATATATGTAATGTTTGAATATGTATTCTTAAATAAAACAAGTTTTATCTCTTTCTTTAATCATACTTAGCTATTTTAACTAAACTAAACTGAAAAAGTTCTAAATAGTCTAAGTATAGACCAGGGGCGGACTGGCCAAATTATTATGATGTGGAAAAATATTTTTAACGGCCCTGTAGGCCAACGAAAAATGAGGAAAAGCAGCAAAGATAACAGACGTAAATTACAAAGTTATGCTTAATTTATAAATATATACATTAATGAATAAATATCGAACAGAAAAAATTTATTAGAATACATATACGTAAAAACAAAGTACTTAACAACGGCCCATGTGGAATAGTCCACATCTTCCACATGGCCAGTCCGCCCCTGGTATAGACTATGAATAGATTTAATATCCATAATATACCTTGATAATCTACAGCAACACTAATGTACATGCATAGTACGTTTTGATGGTCATCATATTTTGACGCACATAGCACGTTTACATGCATATATACATTTTGACATACATAGCACGTTTTGATGGTGAAAAAGTGTTTTACAGTCGTTTAACGTTGATAAATCAACGTTAAAAAAACTATCATTTTAAACGTTAAATCAACGTAAATTCAATGTTATTGTAACGTTTTTTCGCGTCGAATCAACGTTGATATAACGTTTGAACCTAACGTTGATTTAACGTTGATAAATCAACGTTGAAAAAAACTTTCATTCTAAACGTTAAACCAACGTTAGCTTTCAACGATATTTCAACGTTATTTGCCGGCTGGGATATATATATATATATATATATATATATATATATATATATATATATATATATATATATATAAATATATATGTTTATATATATATATATATATATATATATATATATATATATATATATATATATTTATATATATATTTATATATATATTTATAAATATATATATATATATATATATATATATATATATATATATATATATATATATTTATATATATATATATATATATATATATATATATATATATATATATATATATATATATATATATATATATATATATATATATATATATATATATATATATATATATATATATACATATATATATATATATATATATATATATATATATATATATATATATATATATATATATATATATATATATATATATATATCCTTATAGTGTAGTCGAAAGAGTCGTTTAATGTAAAAAAAAGTCTCTTTCGACTACAATTTTAATTACCTCGTCTCTTAAGCTGTATTTGATTGTCGTTGAAATGTCAAAGCAATTAAATTAATGCAAAAGATCATAAAGTTTTATTGTTTTTTAAAAAATTTTTAAAAAACCGCAATAATAACGACTAGAAATTTTTTTTTAATTTTAGTGTTTTTGTTTTTGTTTTATTAAAAAACATTTTTAAAACATGTGTAAATGTTGCTACATCGACTATCTTATAGCCTCACTCGCAACGGAGTGCTGCTACATCGACTGACAAATAGCCTGACTCGCAACGGAGTGCAGCTACATCGACTGACAAATAACCTGACTCGCAAGGGAGTGCTGCTACAACGACTGACAAATAGCCTGACTCGCAAGGGAGTGCTGCTACATCGACTGAGGGTTTGGTTTTGTTTATATATATATATATATACATATATATATATATATATATATATATATATATATATATATATATATATATATATATATATATATATATTTATATATATATGTATATATATATATATATATATATATATATATATATATATATATATATATATTATATATATATATATATATATATATATATATATATATATATATATATATATATATATATACGGTAACTGTTTTAGTTGCTTGTCTTTTTACTGTAGCAGCAAACTTAATATGCGGTCGTACATCATATAATAAATTTGTTAAGTTACTGTTGTAATATGAAAAAGTTTTTTTTATAAATCTTAAAAATGATCTTTCCTTTGAAGATCATGAAAAAATCTGTTGCTTTTACTCAACATTCTTTGAAAGTTTTTCTCCTAAGTCTAACACTAAAACTGTTTTTTCAACTTCTTTACTATCTATTAAATAGGTATGACTTTTGCTACTTTTTCCATAATCCATAATAAAGCACTTGTCAAAATTTAAAAATGATTTACTTTTTTTGACTAAACGACAGCTTTACCCAATTCAGTTTGAAATGTTTCAAATTTTTCTTTATTTATAAGTGTTGATAAAATCTTTGTATGATAAGCATACAGTTTTATTACATTATGAATCCAATTTGGTAAATCGTTAATACATACCAAAAACAACAACATTCCGAGCACGGATTCTTGAGGTACAACACTTAAAACATTTTTCCGTGTAGAGAAAACATTAGCTTATTTGACTTGTTGATGTCTCTTATTTATAAACCCTTTTATCAACTCTAAAAGTTATTTAATTACAACGTACGCCTCCAGTTTTAAAATTAAAAAAACGTTTATGAGACACCGCGTCAAATGCCTTAGCAGAGTTAAGATAAATAAGATTAACTGGTCGTTTATTTGCTAAAAAGTACAAAATGAATGATTCAAGGTAGTTCAAGTGTTTAAAAAAATCTGAATACTGCTAGTTTATATCGAAATAAGATAGGTAAAAATATTTGTAGATTTTGGGTCAAAAAATTTCCAAGAAATTTGGCAAAAAAAAAGTTGGTATATTTGTTGGATCTCAAATATAAGTTATATTGAAGTAAAAGAAACTTAAAAAATCATAGCAAAAGTTGAAAAAAAAAGCTTGATGTACACTTTGTTATGTCGTTCTTGGGTTCCTAGAAAGTTGAAAGGACCCTGAAACAACAACTAGTTTAAAAGCTTGTTAAATAAATCAAAAAACTGGATTGTCGTAAGTCAATAAAGATTCATATTCTGATTAACACCTAGATTTCTTCCCGGAAAACATAGGTAATATCAGAGAAGAGGATGGTAAGAAGTTTCATCAGGGCATTGCAAAATTGGAAAATAGATATCAAGAACGATATGAAAATGGTATAACGGTGGCTTATAATTCTATTGTCAGAAAAGAATAAATTATGCACTCAAAAAAATTATCTTCATCAAAGCAGTTGTAATAATGAGAAGAAGAGATTGCTTTAAAGAAAAGAATCTCTTCTTCTTAATAATAAATCTCTTATGAATCTCTTCTTCGCAATCTCTTTCTTCTTTTATGAAAAGAATGTTTTGACTAATATTTTGAAATTTAAAATGAAGTTTATTAAATACTAAAACTATTTTTTTTAAATACAAAATTAAAAAGAAAGTATAATTCTAAGTGGGCCTTGGACGCCTAAAGTCGTTCGACGAATGTCTAATGGATGCATATTATACGTCTAAGGACTTCTGATGCCTACTGGATTGTTCCACAACTCATTTTTTTTTTTTAATAATATTATTTATTTTTAATTTCATTTCTTACTTGCTTATTACACTTGTAAACGTCACTTTAGTTATTATTATTGTAGTATTCGATCATGAACTTTTTTGTTATTAAAAATAGAAAGAGTTTGTTTTGTAAAAGCCAACAATCTTTTCATGATTTATTGAAATACAATATTTAATGCATCATATAAATCAGTTTATTCAACAAATAATAAATTTGAAAGTAAAAATGATAAAAAATAAATAAATAAGAAAATAAAAAACGAGAATCTTACAAAATGGTCCTATATATGTTGGAGAACAAATGCAAAAAAAGCTATTTTCAGCATAGTCTGGTATGCACGTACTATTATTTTTACAGGGTGATCTTTCACACGGAATATTCTGAAAAAAAAAGCTCAAATAAAGTAAACTTAAAACTAAGTAACCTATTTTTTATTTATTTTTAAAGTTTCAAAATAAAACTTTAACCTGGATACTGGCATGAGTCCAACCATTGTTTTTTTCTAACTGATTTGAATTTGAATATTTATTTTCCGATAATAACTGACATTGAAACAAACTTTCATTGTTTTTAAAAATATTATACGAAGTACAGTTGGTAGTTTTAATACATCTGTTCATACATAATGATTGATGAGATGCACTCATGTTAAGCAATATAGCATTTGACACTAAGCGTGTTTCAGTAATTCTCCTCATAGATAAAAAAGTGATTTTTGATTTTTCATCAACGCGATTAACGAAAGATAAAAACTTGAACTCGCCATAAGAAATAAAGAAAACTGACATTAAATATAAAAAATTTTGAAAAAAATTATGTTTTCTAATCATATACTTCTGTTGCTTGCCTTGCCTAGTTTTCTTAAATGTTTTTTTTTCCTTTTTTTTTATTGTTGCTTGTTTGAATGTTTTCGTTTACCTCAGTATATTGACAGTGTATTGAAATTTTGTGCAATGAATTGCCAAAGAATCATAAATTCAAGTTTTACTTCAAAAGCTTTAAAGTAAAACATAAATATATTTTTCAGTTTTAAAAGTTAACAAATTTTTGTTGCATTAGTTAGAAAACTAAAATAAGTAAATTGTTAAAAAACACATGCATTATATATAAAAATATCACTCAAATTATTATTGTGGTTATAAAAAACTATAGCAACAAAAATTATAAATATTCAAAAATAATTGTCTTTTCACAACAATAGGAAAATTAAAAATTTAAGATTAAAAGACTCTTTAAATGAATACCTTTAATTTTTAAAATTGTCTTTGTTTTTAAACAACTTGTTACTCTCTATAGATAGAGACAAAATTACGAATATATTTTTTAATAATAACATGTCTTTAGTTCGAAATATATGAGTGTTTTTGTTTTATTTTTTTTGTCTTAATATAGTAAAATAACTAATATTTGTAAGGAATCTAAAAATATAACATTGATAGGAATAATAATGCGTTCAATACATAACAACTAAAATAATCACGAAGCTAACAATATATAACAGTATTAATACAAACTAGTTCAGACCTGTGAAACAAGTCATGTTAATTGGAGGGTCATAATTCATTATTCATTTATATTGTTATTCATTATAAGATAAATTTATTTCAATAATTTTGCTACACCGAAAAAATGAATTGGTTTATAATCTTGCCGATTGGGTACTTTCCCCGTTTTTTTCAAAATTTAACTTTTTTCAAGACTTTCCCTTTCGTCACGTCACGTCACGTGTAATTGGCAGGCGAAAATATTTTTTTTAATTTAAAATTAGGCAAGATTTAAATAAAGAGAATTTACTAAAATAAAAAAGTGCAAAACAAAAAATTACACAAGCGGCTTATACTAAGGTGAATTTCCATACATTTTTCTACGGGAACGGGATAGGGAAGGGAATAATAACTATATGAACATGCGTAGTTTTCCTTCAGACAAATTAAAACTGATACAACGTATGCTCTCGTAATTATTTTTTCCTTTCCTATCCCGTTTCCCGTGGAAAAACGGATGAGTGGAACTCACCTTTATACGTAGCCTACCGAAAGTCGGTAGCGGAAAAATAAAAATTATCCGGCCAAAAGTCTATTTTTAATGGTTAAAAATTATCACGTATTACAATAAAATAACTAAATAAAAATACTTTATTTTTAAGTTGCATCTGACTAGGTAGTCTAATGTATTCATTACACTACCCAGTTTCACATCGCGTTGGCTCTCAGAGATCGTATCCTACTCGTGATTCGACTTCTTCAATTTTTTATTTTTTCCTATGTTTTATGTTTTTAATGCTTTATGCAATTATGTCATTTATTGACTAAATTATTTAGAGATGCGCAGTGACTAACACAATGAGTGTTCATGCATCAATAGATGTAATAAAGTGTTCATACACCGACTGATTTAGGGATAGGCACCCAGGAATGTACATGCATTTACAAATTTAGAGATAGGCGCGGTAAAGTGTACATAACTTTACTAATTTAGGGATAGGCGCAGCAGAGTGTTCATCTAACGACTGACTTTAATTGAGAAAGGTGATGCGGAGTGTACGTTCATATACTAATTTAGGGATAGGTGCAGTGGAATGTACATACATTGACTGAGGGTTTTGGTATGGAATGGCAGTCTATTTATTTAATAGAAAATCTTATTTAATCTTTTACATTTTTTTGGTTTTTGTTTTTTATAAATTTTATTTTATTTTTTTCAATTTAGGGGTCGTCCATGAAAGACGTCATTCAGAATTTAAATACTAACCAGTAGTAGAAGTTTATTGGTTTCCTTTAGCAGAGATTTTTGTTTAACATAAAGCGCTATAATACTCTAAAAATCTCTGCGTACGAGAGTCAACATTCTCCTCCTTCTTGCCATTAGTTAAACTTAGCATGATGTCCTTTATGGATAACTCCCTTCGGTATAACAAAATAAAATTTATTTTAATTCGTGATATTTTAAATCGTTAAAAAAAGACTTTTGGTAGAATAATTTTTATTTTTTTGCTATCGGTAGGCTATCCACAGCGTATATGATATTCCATGATCTCAGACCTCTCTTTAAAAGGACAAAAAATTGAATTTTGTGTAGGTTTTTTTTTTTTTTTGCCGTTTTATATATTTACAATAAAGGCATATTACATTTATAAAAATTAATCTAACCCTAATCCTAAACCTAATTATGAAAATTTATAAAAATTTATAAAAATTGGCCTAACCGTAACCCTAACCCTGACCCTAACCCTATACCCTGACCCTAACACTAACCCTAGGTTCGAAGAAATGTTTTCTTTTTAGCCGGACTTTAGGAGTTTTACATAAGATATTAGTAAAGCACAAATAATACACAATGAGGACTATTTGAAACTAGTCTTTGTTTGATCAAAACAGGGATCTTATGATGTGAAAGATCTCATAATATCTCAAAAATCTTTAATATCCAGAGATAAGATAATTCAATTATTTATATGAGTTGTATAAATAATTGAACTATATGAGATAGCTCCGCATTTTTCATCTTATAATGTGTATGACTTATCTAAATAACTTAGGTTAGTGCAAACTTAATATTATAGTTTTATGTTTATAATATATATTAAATTGATTAAAAAAAAAAAAAGTTTGATGTGAAATGTTAACTAAATTAAAAGAAAATTGTAAAACATACAAAACAGTATGTAATGCTGAAAATTGATAAATTATTATTATTCACAACGGAGTTCCACAGGGTACCTGTAGTGTGTTTAGACTATTTATTTACTAATTACCTAAATGATAATAACCGTAACCGTAACCCTAACCCTGACCCTAACCCTAACCCTAACCCTGAAGTTTGCGCTAATCTATTGAAGAAAACGGACGCGTTTTTAAAAGCTCTTTAAAAAAAAAAAAAAAAAAGTGAAAAAAAAATATATAGCAAAGTACACTGTTGTACAAATTAGAGATATGTTAGAAATTCATGAAAACACATTATTAAAAGTTTTCAATGACAAATTTGATAAAATGGAAAATAAAATAATTAGCATGCAAGAAGAAAACATTAATCTAAAAAAAGAAGTTTGCGAATTAAAAAAAACTATTGAATTTATAAGTATAAAATACGATAACATTAACATCATACTTGCAGAACAAAAAAAGAAAACAAACACAGTAGCTAAACAAAGTGACAGCTTAAACGAAAATTGTACCATCCTAAAAAATAGTGACAAGCAGGTGAAATAATTTCAGATTCACAGGAATTGAAGAAGAACCGAATGAAACATGGGGAGAAAGTGAAAGAAAAGTTCAGGTATTTTTTAAATCAAAACTTGGGTCTACAAATGATGTAGAAATCAAAAGAGCCCATAGAACGGGAAGGAAAACTTTTGATGGAAAAAAAAGTAGAACAATTGTAGGAAAGGTTTTTAATTACAAAGATAAAACTGCAGTGTTGGATCGATTTATTAAATTAAAACTATGGAACGAAAAACTTTACATCAATGAAGACTTTAGTGACAAAACGATTGAAATAAAAAAACGACTATTTAAAGAAGCAAACGATTTAAGATCAAAAAGTAAATTTGCTAAGGTAGTATATAATAAACTTATCACTCGTGAATTTTGATTTTCAAAAAAAAAAAAAAATAATATTTTTTTTTTTTTTTTTATCAAATAGTTATAAAAATTAGAATGGATTCTAATTACCCAACCAATTTTGAATCAATCTCATGTAATTTATTTCAAACAATTGATTTAGTTATTGACATTGATTCAGATCCAGACATAAATTACTTTAATGATTCAGTTGTATTGCAAAGTAAATGCTCATATTTTTATAACAAGGAAATAAAAGAACTTTTACGACGGGATCATTTTAATGTTGTTCATCTTAATATTAGAAGCTTGAAAACTTATGTAACATAACTTAATATTAGAAAAATTTGACAACTTATGTAACATTGTAAAAGAAACTTCAAAATTTTTTAGCATAATATGCTTAACTGAAATTTGGTGTGACTCTGATGACCCCAAATCTTACTTAAATCTCCACCTGCGAGGCTTTAAAATGATCCCGCTAGCACGAAAATCAAAAAAACGAGTCGGTGGTGTACTTTTTTATATAAAAGAAAATTTGCAGTATATTATTAGGTCTGACATGAGTAACTCTGATGACAATAGCGAAGTCTTAACAATAGAGATTAAAACCAGTAACACCAAAAATATACTTTTGAGTTGCTGTTATCGCCCGCCATCTGGCATAACAGAAAATTTCAATACATTCTTATTTAATAATATTTTAAGAAAAGGTTTAAAGGAAAAAAAACTTAACTATTTAATTGGAGACATAAATCTAAATTGTTTTGAATATCAAACTAATAACAACATAAAAACATTTTATGACGGTTTATTCCAGAACGGCGCTATTCCATTAATAAACAGACCAACAAGAGTAACAGAAACATCAGCTTCTGTAATAGATAACATAATAACAACTGATATCTTTAACAATTCGCTTAAATTAGGTATAATAAAAAATGACGTGTCTGATCACTTCCCTATTTTCTTTTCTTTAAATCTTGTTACCGAAATAATACAACAACAAAAAAAAACAAATTTTCATCAAAGGCTTTTTTAATGAATCAAATATCGAATCATTTAACGATCAACTATCCCTACTTAACTGGAAAAGTATCGACTCTACATTAGAAGCAAATGTAGTCTATAACACATTCTACGAAACATTTTATGATATCTATGACGCAAATTTCCCAAAAATCAAAATAATTAAATCAAATAAAAGCCTTCAATCACCGTGGATCAATAAAGACCTCAGAAAGTCCTCAAAAATTAAGCAAAAACTTTATATAAAATACTTAAAAACCAAAACAATTGAAAACAAAACAATATACAAAAATTATACTAAACAATTTGAAAATAATAAAAAAAATGCACAAAAAAAATACTATTTCAATTTGCTAGAGAAACATAAACTCAATTCAAAACGCACTTGGCAAATTATAAGTGAAATCACGGGCAAACAAAACTTAAAATTGTGTTCTCTACCTAAAGCTATTATAA